CTGGCTCCGGCGCCCATATGGAATTAGCGGAGAAGAATAATAAATAATAAATAGTGAAAAATCCATAGAAAAACAATAGGGTTCCCTGCCCATTGGGCTTGGGACCCTTAAAAGACTTTCTACCGTTAGAAACACAAAGGACAACTGTGACAGCTCCAGTCTGTCTGTTAAAATTAGAAAATGTGTTTTTAAATGACTGACCTGAACCTTTCTTTGTCTGGCCTTTAAGTTTGAATTGCTAGTAGATTACATCTGTTAGACACAGGGACTGATTAAACACACACTCACCTAAACCTTTCACTGATATTTGTCTTACTTCTCCAGGCTAAGGCTTCTCCCGTTAGTGATCCTGCTGGCTCCAGCTGGTATTTAACCTTTCAGTGAGAAAAGGATTTTTTTTTTGGCAGCTTTTATTGGGAAGATCAGAACTCAGAATAATTACAACCTTGTGTCATCCTCTGCCAAAAAATCTCCTGACATCATCCTTGAACTGCAATCTGGACAACTAGGCAACCTGGTGTTTGTGTTATCTGACCTTAAGGTGGGCTGGACAAAGGTGAAGGAATTATTTAGCAGTGCAAGTGTGGTAAAGCGGGCGGATGCAAAAGAGGATAAAGAGCCGTGGGATGAGAACAGTGCTTTTTGAGCAGCCTCTGGAAACTGTACAGGTCATATCCATGTTCAATGGATGGATGCTCTTTGAGTGGCACATGAATGTGAAAGTTGATTAAAAAAATGTCTTCATCCTGAATTATTTTGACGAGTAGGAAAAGCGCCTCAGTTACCACACAGGCTTGATGATATTTGCACAGGTCTTGGGCCAGGAGGGCAGCCAATAAATGCAAATTGTCCTGAGTGGTTGTGGAGGAATGGGCTGTGTGGCACCCGGGGTTATCATGGGAATAGCAGACTTGAATAAGGAATAAGCACAGCTGGAAGTTTTGGAGGCAGAAAATTTCAAGAAAGGATAGCTTCTGAATCAAGCCCCCACAATGCGGCTCTTAAATTGGGCCCAACCCTGAAGTACCAAAAATTGCAGTTCCACCCTCATCCACTAGGGGCTGGTGTCAGAAGCGAGCAAATCCTCATTGACTCGCATGTTAAAAATACCAATTTCACAGCAGAAATAAACATGTTTACAGCCTGGTACCAAAACATGTTTTTGGTTTAAATGATCTAGTTTACACTCATGACAACTCTGAGGGGGGGTGCATTTTTTTCTCACTCTTCTGTTTAAGTGTATTAAAAGCCTAAAATTCTGTATAATTAATGAGCATCAGACCCACGTGACTGCAGAGCTAGCTCCGTGGAAAGGCCTCAGTAGAGCCTCGGTCTGGCTTGGAAACTGCTCCGGGATTTTGAGTCTCTGTGTTTGTGTATTCTTTTTTGGATATTATGTGTGCAATTGTTGGACAAAATGACTTGCTGTGGCATTAATTGCACTAATAGAGCGTCCAAGGAGTCTCCACTTCATTATTTTCGGTAAGTAAATTTATATTTATGTATTTTAGGTCACTGCTGAGCTGAGCTTAGATTTTAACATGTACTGTTTAACCATGAAATTTAAATGTAATAGGGTAAAACCCAGTGCATTTAACATAATGCTGCACTTTAGAAAATGGGTTGAAATATAACATGTTGGTGGAGCTGGGTTCCGACTATCGGCTTGTGGAGCTCTCGGGAGACCGATGTTTTCCACCCGTTTCTCCCCTACCCGCAGCTCGGCACATCTCTGTCTGATCGCGGCTTCTGTGTGCTGCGGCGGGCTGACGGCTGGTTCTCCCAGCAGGTCGGCGTATCTGTCTGATCGCGGCTTCTGTGTGCTGTGCGGCTGCCGGCTTGTGGAGGTCTCCGAGACCTCTGTGTTCCACCTGGTTTTACCCAGCGGTCAGCCCGGCATATCTCTGACTCAGAAGCTCTGGTGTTGTGTACAGTTAACTCCGGTTGTAGCTAGGTTGCTACCTCCGTTAGCTTAGCTCCTACCTCCGCGTTAGCTTTGGGTTAGCTTGTAGCTAGTTCGACCGGGTGTCGTCAGTTGATCCCAGCCTTACAGCCCCACCCTCAGCTCCACCTCTCTTCCCTTTTGTGGAATTGTCTGGGGTTGACGGAACCTGTGACACGGTCAAAATGGCGGTGGTGGCCACCTCCCATTTGGCCTCAAAAACGTGTTATTGGAGCCTATGGAAATGAATTGTCCAGTATATATGTCGATATTCTGAATGAATGGTCAACCCAAATGCAAAAGCTCACTGTCTGTCTTTGCATAAAAGAACATGGCCGTCTTCATTACTGCCCACTGGCAGCAATAAGATTCAAGATGAATGCTCAACCACAGCGTATAACATAATCGATGTACAGGAAGTGTCTTACGCATGCAGTGGTGCGAGTGAATGGAGGGCCCCAGACCATCACTAGCAGGCAAGAGGGTGATGTGTCTTGCCTATAGAACCAAACGACTGCGACAGACCGAGTGGGACATGTACCTGCAACCCTCTGATTACAGGGCGGGTGCTTAACTCCTCCTTGAACTGTAGTCATGACAAGTGCAACATCTTGGTATGCTACTACTGCAGTAGAACGTCCCTTCCTGTGAGAGCCTGCCTTGTATGCATGATGTCACTATTGCACGACCGAGATGGTCCCGATCCTATATGGAGAATAGTGATGACTACTCGTGAGAAATGTGTTCTAAATTGTTACAGTAACTCGAAAATAATCTTCGATAATAAATCATGCAATAATAAATGCAATACTGTAAGACTAACCATTGACTGTCATTAGAGAGACAAAGACAGATGTAGGTTAGCTCATTTCTACGAAAAACACAATACTGTTAAGTCAACCATTCACCCCCGATCACCCTCCTGTCTTCACTCATTAACAAGGCCACGTGTGATACCACTCAAACTTCTCCCCTTGAGGGACCTTCCTCCCAACCTGGAATACCCTTTTTGGGTTCATAACCTTGGCCGGTGCTGATCTTCAACCCAACCACTTCAAACTTAAATGGTAACATTAATTCAATTCAGCTAATTTATCTAGAGTCAAATCACAACAAGAGTCGTCTTAATGCACTTTACAAAGTAAACCTTCCAACTGAACCTCCCTATCAGCACACCGAGTTCAGTTCCTTTTTATATTTAAGTTTTTCTTATGTAAGAAACCCCAGCAGGTTGCATCGAGTCACTGACTTGTGTCCTTTTCTTTACAGCAATCCTCATACTAAGCAAGCATGACTTAAAGGTCACTGAAGCTTAAGAGGACCACAGCATTCTTGAAAAGCTGATATGGATTTGTCTTCTAGTTAACAAAATCTTTTTTGCTTTTAGATTTGAAAAAGTGAACTGAAGTCATGTGTCATACAAGAAATAGATGCACGCTATGTGGACAAGAGATGACTGCTGGAGGGGAGGATCTGAATCTGGATTCTGCTTGCTCCCCTGCACACATTCAAGGTGTTCCTCCAAGCACCAGAAAACTAAATGAATCCAACCACATCATTTACAGATGTGAATATCCAGCAGCCAGGTAAAAAACACCTATCAGTGAGCCTACAACTGGAAAAAAAATCTCAGGTGTGTTTTCATCTCTCAGTCAGGAAAATATCCCAATGTTTACACGTAGAGGGCGGGGCTTAAAACATACATTGGAACCAGACACTAGGAGTTTTTATTTTCTTCCCGTGTCTACATTCTGATTCTGGTTGGAAGTAAAGTAAATGTGTTTGAAGTCAATTAGCACACGGTTGCTATAGCTAATGTCACAAAGCTGTCCTTTTAACCCTCCCGCTGTCTTCATGGGTGACCCCGCGAGGAAAGTTGACCATGGAGCAGGATTGATGGTTTATCCCTTGAGGTCCACGTGGCGGGGGTGAGGTGGTGCTCACTCCTCACCCCTGCCACGTGGACCCGTGAACTTTCCTCGCGGGGTTTACACCCATTAGGACAGTGGGAGGGTTAAAATAAAAGCATTGCAAAAGTCAGTTTAACAATGAAAGGAGATCTTATGGATGCACATGCAGAATTTACATGTTTCATTTTCCATTAACCTCTCGTGGGCTGGGTTTGGGGTTTGTTGGCTGGTTAATGCCCACTTCTGAGCCTTTTGAAGGAACTGCACATGGTATACTTGTGTTTGTAGATGGAGAATGGATGTGTGCAGAGCATCTTTACATTCTGATGGAGCATATTTCAGCAAAAATAAATGGACAGAAACTATTCAGACAGCAGAGGAGTTATGCAGCTGCAGAAATGAAGAAGCAGAAGGTTAAGAGAATAGCAAGCTTAGCTCTTTGTCAAAACTGCTAGCAGCCAAGGGTTCAGCTCTCCACGATGCCAAGGCCACTGCCTCACACGCACCTCACAGTTCCTTTAACAGGTGCGGTGAAACATTCTGCTGTCACAAGTGAACACAAACACACTTGAACTCTTCTCCTGGTGTTTGGAGGAAAACTCATGATCACACCCTGGTGAGGCTAGCACGAGACCGTTAGGAGGTGGCACAAGCTTTGACAGTGTGAGGAATGATGGTGAGCTCAGTTTTAAACAGAAAAATACAACAAACTGTCCACACTGAGGGACTGGCCACGATGATGATCGAAGACCATATGTGTCCTTCCAAAGAGAATATCACTGGGTCTCATTTCACATTTAGTTTTTACTTTTGAATATGTCTGTAGAAGCTCCTTCAGTTCTGCAACTTGGGTAGGGGGTAGGAGGCTTAATAGCCTTCTACACTTCTGAGCCTTTTACTCCCTACCTAACCCTAACCAAGTTTCGGAACTGAAGGAGCTTCTTGGATGAAAGGCAAAACGTCAAATAAAATAAGAAAAGTCCAGTTGTTTCCAACTAAACCTCCAAGACTGCTTGTCCTGGATGGCAGAAGATCTACACACTAAAGGCATTTTTGAAACATCTGTTGTCCTTTGATGGCAGATATCATAAACCTGTTCACATTTTGCCCCATCTCCACACAACCTAAACCAACAGCTGTCCGTTTACCTCCTGACTGCAGTCCAGCACACAGAGTTTGGAGCACTGCTTCTTGGCATCCATCAGTATGTTGAACATGGTGCAGACAGACAGCGGCACCCGGAAGTCTGTCGACTCACTGGCTTTTTGCATTTTAGCGTCAAATGAAACTTTTGTCCTGCAGAACAACACAGAAGATAATTGATCCCAAGATTTTACAGCAAATCAAGAACAGTGATTATTTTTCTCACAACAAACAAATAACAGAATCCCATTCATTTTGTTATTTTAATTTGTGCATTAGTTTTAGCCAAAATATGATTTCAATAGGCAATAAAACAGATTTTCAGCTACTGCAACATCTGTCTGACCTTTTGACACAAGCTTCCATCATGTCGCTGGCCATCAGTTTGAGTCTTTGCTCCAGATGTTGGGCAAACTCTGGCTCTGGCCAGTGGAGGTCCAGCACAAACATCTGAAGTGCATCCAGCTTCCAGAACAAATCCTCGGAGGTAGCTGAGCCGTTACTTCAGAAAAGATGCAGAGGATTAGAAATTGAAATATGAACTTTCACACAAAACCTGTTGAGTATTAACAGGTCACTGCAGGATGTGATAACACCGCTGGCATTTCAGGGACCACAAAGAAGGGCCCCTACGGGCCACCTACTGAATACGCTGGATTAAAGCGTTCAACCATTCCACCCTGGAACAAGGATGGGTATAGTCCGGCTCCTCTGATGGCGTTTCCTTGCCTTACCTTACTTGGCTCATCTGGACTCAGCCAAATATAATTTTTACTTGTGTGCGTGTGTGTGTGTGTGTGTGTGTGTGTGTGTGTGTGTGTGTGCGTGCTTGCATATGTCTGTTAATGTTTTTAACCTGTTATGGGAATCTGGGGTCATTTTGTAAAGCACTTTGAGTAGCATTTTGTTTGAAAAGCGCTTTATAAATAAATCTGATTGATTGATTGATTGATCATCAACAGGTTCTGGTTAAAGTGGGTGTGAAACTGCGTGGTCTCAGTAGAGACCACGACCTTCCTGTCTTCGGTCTTTTGCATGACGGTTTCTCAGCAACACGTGGAAAGCCTCTGTACCAACATCCAAGTGTACAGCGCCCACAGCTAGAATGATGGCCACAGGAGGGAAGGCGAGGGGGGGTCAAAACAATTGTTACTCACCCCCTCACTTTACTCACTTTGCCTTTAAAAGACTGTTACCTTAAGAAGTGGCACATGGAAATCTGTGCTGGGCTGAGTCCATGGTGCAATTAAGCACTTGGTGGCTATCCCCCTCATGTCTAATTAGTGGTGCTCTTCGCAGAGCGTGCCTCGCCTCTCTCCCTGTGGAATGGGACGATCCCACTCACCCGTCTGTGCTGGTTAATGAAGTGCCAGCTTTTTTTCCCTCTCTGTTTGTTTCCAAGGGTGGTGGAAGCCCAAGTGAAGCGAGGTAGAGGAGAAGTATGGTCTGTGCTGTGGGAAAGGCTGAGGGAGTCAGACTGAGAAGCCTTTTTAAGAAATGCACCCTTATTCGGTCTCTTGAGACCCCCCCCCCAACCACTACCTCCCCCCACCCAAATGGCCACCCATACTGGAAAGCCTGCTGTAGACTCACTTTCTCCACAAATGATTAAAACACTGATTTACTACTCAAAAACGGCATATTTGGACCTTGCTAAAGAAATGTGTTTCTCTAACTGTTTTCATTCGTTTCAACAGTGAGTGAATGATGAGTGAATGATGTTTCCATCAGCTGATTTGCCTTCGATCAACAGAGTGTTCAGTGACACCGCTCAGTACAGCTTTGTGCTTTCACCACCGTTTCCCCCAACTCTGTCAGAGCTACTGCACAGGTTACAGAACGGTTAGAAAGTAATCTCTGGATAATCATTGGTAAGTGATTCACATTTAAAATCAATCCAGATCAAGATACTCACCCTGGCTTATCACCATCATGTTGTAAAGAAATGAAAGAAAATTGAGCGGGTGGACTGAGATCACCGCGGCAGTAACTTACCCTTCGCTCTTTAAAGAATGATAGTTCTGTTATTTGACTTGGTGGTTTAAAGGAGCTTTGCCCTTTTTATGCGACACATCTTTTTGCAATGATTTAGCTTTGTTTGCAGATACCTGTTTATCACCCACTGACTGAAATCAGGTGTGTTGGAGCAGAGAAATATTAAAACATGCAGGACAGTGGCCCTTGAGGATCACCACTGGCCCTGTTAGTCATGGGATGTCCATAGCAGGCAAAAACCAAAGACAGAGCTATTATTATTATTATTACTATAAATAATCATGTCATTGTTATACCTTAAATAAAAGTAAACCTTTTATATAGGGTTACTTCAAAGGGATTCCCTCTACTGCTTTTATTTAACTTACAAAATATCAGGTAGATTTATTCCACGCAAGCTGCAACAGAAAATGACTTGTTGTTATTATGAAGGTAGTGTGGTGTGAACACTGCACTAGCAAAGCAAACACCCAAATGACTAAAACCATCTTATTAAACAAGACTTAGGTATGATCAGTGAAAGCAACACTCAAACTAAAACACCACAGTACCACGTAACAACCGGACATGCACTGCTCACGCAGACAAAATCACGCTACGCTCATGCAGACAATCACGCTAAGTTCGCGCAGACAAAATCACGCTACGCTCATGCAGACAATCACGCCACACTCATGCAGACAAAATCACGCTACGTTCACGCAGACAAACTCACGCTACGCTCATGCAGACAATCACGCCACACTCATGCAGACAAAATCACGCTAAGTTCACGCAGACAAAATCACGCTACATTCACGCAGACAAAATCACGCTACGCTCATGCAGACAATCACGCCATGCTCATGCAGACAGTCACACCACGCTCATGCAGACAGTCACGCCACGCTCATGCAGACAGTCACGCCACGCTCATGCAGACAGTCACGCCACGCTCATGCAGACAGTCAGGCCACGCTCATGCAGACAAAATCACGCTACGTTCACGCAGACAAACTCACGCTACGCTCATGCAGACAATCACGCCACACTCATGCAGACAAAATCACGCTAAGTTCACGCAGACAAAATCACGCTACGTTCACGCAGACAAACTCACGCTACGTTCACGCAGACAAACTCACGCTACGCTCATGCAGACAGTCACACCACGCTCATGCAGACAGTCACGCCACGCTCATGCAGACAGTCACGCCACGCTCATGCAGACAAAATCACGCTAAGTTCACGCAGACAAAAACACGCTACGTTCACACAGACAAAATCACGCTACGTTCACGCAGACAAAATCACGCTATGTTCACGCAGACAAAAACACGCTACGCTCACGCAGACAAAATCACGCTATGTTCACGCAGACAAAAACACGCTACGTTCACGTAGACAAAATCACGCTACGTTAGCGCAGGCAAAATCACGTTACGCTCACGCAGACAAAATCACGCTACGTTCACGCAGACAAAATCACGCTACATTCACACAGACAAAATCACGCTACGCTCATGCAGACAAAATCACGCTACGTTCACACAGACAAAATCACGCTACGTTCACGCAGACAAAATCACGCTACGTTCACACAGACAAAATCACGCTACGCTCATGCAGACAACAAAATCACGCTACGTTCACGCAGACAAAATCACGCTACGCTCATGCAGACAAAATCACGCTACGCTCATGCAGACAAAATCACGCTACGTTCAAGCAGACAAAATCACGCTACGTTCACGCAGACAAAATCACGCTACGTTCACACAGACAAAATCACGCTACGCTCATGCAGACAAAATCACGCTACGTTCACGCTGACAAAATCACGCTGACAAAAACACGCTACGCTCACGCCGACAAAAACACGCTACGCTCACGCAGACAAAATCACGCTACGCTCATGCAGACAAAGTCACGCTAAGCTCATGCAGACAAAATCACGCTACGCTCATGCAGACAAAACAGGGTTTCTTTTTCTACAACACAGCACTAAAAATGTTAAACTTAAGGGACATTTTTTGTGCTGCCACGTGGGTCTAATTCTATTTTCCTAAACTAAATGATTGTACATGACAAAGTATGAATGAAATGATGTCCTATAGATGACAGATGATGAATGGAAGGATGGAATAAGAGCTAGATGTTTTAGCAAAACCTTTCTTAAGTGTCTGAGAGAGATTGTGGAGTCTGGGTGGTAAAATCTGTTTGGCTGTATGGTTTGATAAGCTAGAGATATGTTTATAAAACCATCCGACACAATTTGTGCCGGTCTACACACCCTTGTGTGAAGATTCCCAAGCGATCCAGGGGGTCAGGAGGTGGAGATGGACACTGCGGATGGCTTGTACCTCTTGTAGCCAGCTCAGAGTAAGACCCGTCTAGTCTGGGTTATTTTCAGGTGATGGCAGGAAGCTGGAGTGCTTATTTTGCATCTAAGGCTGTTGGGCGGCTCTAAAAAGAGCTGTTGTGTCTGAAATCACTCACAAGCGTTGCAGAGAGGCTTTGACCTTGGGGTCAAAAAAATGGATGGTCTCAAAATGCTTGTTCACCCGATTGGCCTGATCAAGTGAACGGGGAAGACTAACTAGATCAGGAAGTTTTTCCTGTTTTTATCAACTTTGTTTATAAATTTGGCAAATCAGAATTTGACATGTTTAAGAGGCGCTAGCAAAATACCTCAGAAGTCACAACTTCCCTCAGATACTCAGACAGGTTAATTCTCTGCAAGCCCCCATAGTTCGGGTCTGGATATGAAGAAAAACAGGAAGTGACAAAAATTGCAGTTCCACCCTCATCCACTGGGGGCTGGTGTCAGAAGCGAGCAAATCCTCATTGACTCCCATGTTAAAAATACCAATTTCACAGCAGAAATAAACATGTTTACAGCCTGGTACCAAAACATGTTTTTGGTTTAAATGATCTAGTTTACACTCATGACAACTCTGAGGGGGGTGAATTTTTTTCTCACTCTTCTGTTTAAGTGTATTAAAAGCCTAAAATTCTGTATAATTAATGAGCATCAGGCCCACGTGACCGCAGAGCTAGCTCCGGGTAAAGGCCTCAGTAGAGCCTCGGTCTGGCTTGGAACTGTCCCGCCATTTTCAGTCTCTCAACTTAGACCAGTAGTTGTAGCGTTTGTGCATTTTTTTTTTGGATATTTTTTGTGCAATTGTTGGACAAAATGACTTGCTGTGGCATTAATTGCACTAATAGAGCGTCCAAGGAGTCTCCACTTTATTTTTTTTTGGTAAGTAAAATTATATTCATGTATTTTAGGTCACTGCCGAGCTGAGCTTAGATTTTAACATGTACTGGTTAACCATGAAATTTAAATGTAATAAGGTAAAACCCAGTGCATTTAACATAATGCTGCACTTTAGAAAATGGGTTGAAATATAACATGTTGGTGGAGCTGGGTTCCGACTATCGGTATGGTCACCCTCCCCTCAGCGGCAGCTCGGCGTATCTCTGAATCAGAAGCTCTGGTGTTGTGCACAGTTAGCTCTGGTTGTAGCTAGGTAGCTACCTTCACTAGCTTAGCTTCCACCTCTGTGTTAGCTTTGGGTTAGCTTGTAGCTACATCGCTTCAGTTCGACGGGTGTCATCAGTTGATCCCAGCCTTACAGCCCCACCCTCAGCTCCACCTCTTTTCCCTTTTTTGGAATTGTTTGGGCTTGGCGGAACCTGTCACACGGTCAAAATGGCGGTGGTGGCCACCTCCCATTTTGGCACAAAAACGTATAATTGGAGCCTATGGAAACGAATTGTCCAGTAAATATGTCGATCATTCTCAGTGTGAAGTGGAAATGTTTTTCACATTTACGTGAAGTGAACAATAAAAACCCTAATATTAATCTTATCATGTATGAGTACACTGATAGATTAACTTGTTAGATCAGCAAACATTGATCTAGTGTAGTTTAAGATCTGAAATGAATCACTGCAGGAAAAATATTCATTGTAACACATCATTGACTCAAACACTTTGGGATTTAAACATCTTGTTCATTCAACACATTTGATTACATCAACCTATAAAGTTGTAAAGTGAGTTATGATACAAGGAAGATGAACTTTATTCAGAGTGAAAGTGCAGAAAGTCTGTCTTCTGCATGACTTTTGTTCCAGCCAACATAAGGAAAGCACTTATTTGGTTGCTGATCATAGATCATTGCTTTTCTTGTTTTGAGATCGGCCAGACAGATGCGATGCACCCCTGCATGTGTGACACAGTTTGTGTCTGCAAATTCAAACGTTACTTTCTGTTTATTTTGATGAAATACTTGACCTTTGGGTAGGCTACACCAGGATAATCGATTTTACCACAAGTGTTGGATTTTCTTGACTTATCTTGATCTGACTTTTGAGGACAAACAAGAGTGTTTCCTCTCAAATATATGATAGCCTCCACCATGCTCCTCCCTCGCCATGTTTGTTTACTCCAAAGTCTCATTTGATCCCAAGATGTTTTGTGAGATTTTCTATCTGTCCAGTGAATGTTGGTGAGTGAAATAAGTTTGTGTGTAATTTTTGCCATGTAGCCACATACTGTAGGACCAAGGCTGTTTTTTTCTTTTTAGCACTCATGTTTTAAATTCATCCACCATAACAGAAGGAGAGGGGACACCGTGGTTTTAATCTAAGGTGATTGCTTTAACAAGTACGACAAAGCAAGCACGTTCAAAATCTCTGTCTAATTTAATAGAAATTAGACATGAATAAAAAGTGAGATTAGCAGGAACAGCCCAAGATCTTCTCAGTTGCAGTTGACGCAAGTCAAACACTTAAAGAGCTGTCCTGTTACTGGTTCTTATTGGATTCATAAACACTGTTTAAAACTATTCCCTTTCAGATGATTCACTTGGTACAACGAAGGTCCGATGGGACATCATGCCCTTGTGTGGCCTGTCTGAAGACACATCTAATCACACCTGTAGAGGCTAATGAGCTTGGCACTAGGTGGTTGCCCCGCCCACCACTGTAAACACCCAGCGTCAAAGACATTTTACTGTTCTTATGCTATTCAGTTCACTGAGAACACATCTATTGTTAGCTGTGCTAGCTTAACTGCGCACTAGTGTTGACATTGCTGCCTTCTGGCTAGCATTTGCCCACCGAGCTCCATCTTTTTGTGGCTCTTTTCAGCTCTCACAGCAGGACCCTATGCTTTCTGAGTCGGCCCCTCCGTCTTCACCCGTTTTTGATGAGGATGGTCTTCTTATCAACCCCCTGCTTCTAGCAGGGCAGACCAAATGGAGATGACTGAAACGCTGACCGAGTCTGACTTGGAGGCTCCCCTGTTTCCTCTTCCAGAGGAGGACAAAGAAGGCATGCTTGGCATTTGTGTCAACAGTCACGACCCGCTGGGGGACGAGGAAGCTCTCTCCATGGTGGACTGCGTGGC